TGGAAAGCACTCCTCCTTCCTATATAAAATTACCTGTTTCAAGGTGCACTGAGGCACAAACTCTCTTTTTAACATGTTGTCCTTTTTATTGCTGCTTTTTAAAACATTATAACACTTTCCAAAGTAAAAAAAAAACCAAAACATTGTGCATAGATAATCTCTTAAATCCTCTGCTTATGTAAAGTTGGGGAAGGAACGTTAGAAATTTTGAACAAGTTTTATCTAATAACAAAGGACTTAATTACTGCTATCCTGAAAGATGAGCCTCTGGCTGATAATTTTATGAGGATGGTACACGTTGAGCAAAACCACAGAAAATAGTTTCCTGCCAGAACTTAAGAAAACAGAAGTTTCAACTTATAGATTGTTATGAGTTTTGCACATGGGTTGTATTTATAAAAAATTTTTGCTGTCTAGCATAGACAGGCAATCAAAACTGAAATCAGAGAAAGAGCAGAAGAACAACTGATAAAGCTTCCACATGTAAGTTCTTGCTTCTTCACTGTGAGATCTATTTCATGTTCAACCACTTTATTAACCAAGACATTCCCCCCTGCCCCCATTCCTCTCCTTTTGTACCCCCAGCAATTTACTGGGATTCCTTCTGTGGATTATCTAAAAGCAGGGAAGGTATTCATACGCTATTATCATGCTTGTTGTCACATGAGATATATTATATGGGTGTTCAGGCTGAATATTTTGTCTTGGAGACAGAAATGAAATGCCTATTCTGTGAAAGAAGTGACAAGCTAAAACAGAAGCACAGCAGCAAAGACTCGTGCAGCTTCCGGGCTGGATTCAGCTCTGTGGCTGGTGATAAAGAATTTATCATCCTTTATGGTCTTTATGAATCTGTATTCACACTGGTGGCTGAATCTTTTTGTGATCATGTTAACTCTTACAAGGGAGTTTACTTATTGACATGTAAAAAAACCCCTGCAGCCTGGTCTGTACTACTTGTGCAAACAAATCTGGTAAAATACAGGGAGCCAGTCACATAATTCATTGACTGTCCGTGAGTACAAGTATCAGGATCAGGTTCTTCTGCTCATTTTCATTTTCTGATTGTGCTTTGAATTTTTGGTCTTTTCTTGTGAGCTTAACAGGCAAGTATCAAAGAGTTTAAGTTTAGTATTTGAACTAACTTTGGTCAATATTTTTTGCATGGGAAAGTAATTAAATATTATTAGACTGACTGTGCGGTCTTACCTCACTTTGTGACCAATGCTCTTTTTTGATCATACAAGTAGTGACCTATAGCCCAGGTGTTTAGCAGAAAGGTACTTCTCTGTAAAATTCCATATGATAGATCAAAAATCAAAGTTCCCTCCCCCCCCCCATTCCATTAATTTCTTTATGGCTCCTTCATTCAAAAAAATATAATTTCAAACAAGCAAAAATTACTCATAATCTAACACATTGATACACATTTTGACATACAAGTTTATCCTGGGACAAATGTTCTCCTGTTTAGCACCACATGTCCACCACTGTTGGTTTACAATTCCTAAATAAGTAAAGGTTGTTCTTAATGCCATGTGATGTTTCCTAGTCATGAATTATATTATAAAGAAAAGAATGGAAAAAGCCCATATAGATGTGTATGTATGTAAAAAGATGTATATGTAAATATATTTTTTTAACCTTACATCTTTGTACATATGCATGTTTGGACATCATATACCTATACCTATACCTATACCTATACCTAATATTCCTAGCTTTTTTGTAGCCCTTTTTCCATCAATGATTTTAGTCAAAGTTCCAAAATATGCATGTCATTTAGGATTAATGAAACAATTAGTAAGGCAATAACAATGTCCTGCTATAAATATATTACAAATATGTGCCTTTTACAATAAACTTAATGTTTTTAATTAGCAAATGGAATCCAACATTTTCTAGTTGTCTCATTAAAATGAAATTAGATGCAGGGTTGGGAATTTTAATTCAAAACATTCACCTTTATTTTGGAACACATTTCTGAACAAGTTCTTAAATTATTTTAGTAAATGTCCATGTTAATGTACTTGTAAAACATGGCGTCCAATCTTGTTAACATTCCCTTCTAGAATGAGGACATTGGAATAATTTCACTTCAGAAGGAAAAAGGGGATTGTATAAAATTACTTCAATCAAGCAAAGATTATTTCCATGTGTAACAGTGTAACTTGATTTACATTCCTACAGCTCAAAATAATTGATGCAGTATTTTTAGTAATTATTGAATACTACGTGCTACACACAAGATCCCTCAGTTGAGATAACTGCACTGCAAGCTGCAGTGGAATGAAATTTTACATTTGTGGCAATGTGGAATATTGACATCACCTCCTTTAAGGTGTGCAACCCAGGGGCATTTTTCTTGACAGTGCCTACCTCCCCTCTAGTAACTGTGTGAGTAATCTAAGATTACTTATTTTCCTCTGTATCACAGATACAGTGTTTGTTGTGAAACTCTATGTGCTTAGAGCAAGAAATTATATAACGCATGTAAAAAAAGGCTGGAATACTTCAGTGCCTTCCATACTGCAAATTAATGTTTCTAATGCAACTCAATCAAGAAAAGCAAAAAACCAAGTGTTTGAAGAAACCAGCACTTTAAGTGACAATGGCAGGGAGGAATTTCAAACAAATTTGCAGCTAAGTGAGGCTCATGCCTAATAGCTGTCCAGGGCTTGCTCCAGACAATTTTTGCTCTAGGTCTGTGAAGCCTGAACGTAAAGATGATTTTTAAAGAGGTTCAAGGGAGACATTTCTCTTTGTGGATACCCAGGCTAAGCCAACAAACTGCACAGCAACTGGGGGCTTTGAACGTGAAGTGTCTGTAGACACCAGCCACCAGCTACACATACTTACCTACTTCTGCAGTGCCACAGGCAGCACAGAGTAGGAGTGACACTTTCCAGCCATGTTAGAACACTCTTATTCAACCTGGGATAAGCAGTGGGACATACTCAACTCACTAATAAGCTCCTGGAGTCAGGTCCACCCTGGAGCTCCCACTCCAGGGAGTCCTATGGCTTCATTGGGAAAAAGCAGATCAGGGACAGGCAACAGGCTGCTGCATGGTGGATCTGCCCCTTTCCTCCAAAACCACCTTCACTGCTCCCCCTCCAGCCTTCCTAGTTCCTCAGACCCACAGAGGGGAGGGCAGAGGCAGAGGTGGCAAGAGGCAGAGGAAGAAGGTGCAGGGAGCCAGACTTGGCAAGGACAAGTTGCTAAATGCTGGGTTTAGATGGTCAGATTATTGCACAGATCTGCTCCCTTGCCCATTGTCCATTATCTTATATTGGGACCGTTAATTACTCCCACACATCTGTATGTCTTTCAACCTTGTCTGTTAAAGATCCTCCTTGTATTTTTTTCAGTCAGAGTCACTTTGAATTCTAATCCCACTGTCCTGAGTGACTGAGCCCCTCCATCTTACATGGGTTGCTTACTTTGCATTACAAGGGCAAACACGATTTGCACGGATACAAGTCGCTAGAAAAATAATCCCTTTTTGTTTCTCTAAATGCTACTGAAATGTGAAGTTAATGCAAAAACACAAGTACATGAAGATAATGAAGTATGTTTCTGTTAAGTTCTGTGGTGCCTCTTTGCAGAGTGCTGAACTAAGTAAAAACTTGATCTGCACCAAATGAAGTGAACTTAACTGAATTCCTTGAAGATTCATAAATGAGAAGGCCAGAGAGCAAGGCTGCAAGGCTGTTTGGCTGCATGCGTAACAGGGAGAAATTCACCCAGCCATTCTGGCATCACGCTCAGGAGATGCAGCTGATCAATAAACTCAAGTGAACTCTCCGAATGGCTTGCTTCAGTTTTCTCTGGAAACTTATCAGTCAGTTTGGTATACAAACAAACAACTGCCATGTAGATCCAAACTCCAAATATAAGAAAAAACAAGGGATTTACAAATTTATGTCATGTATCTTGTGCACCATTTTCCAAGAAATCCCCCAGAAGTAGCCCTGTCTTGGAGAAGGTTACAAAGGAAAGAAAAAAAACAATATAAAGGTCTTTCATTTCATCTGATACAAAATAGCATATGTTTTTGTATGCTTCATTAATGCTCCCTGGTTCACTGCCTAGAAATGCACAATGAGTTCAACCTTCAGGGGTCAGCAGTGCTCATCATATCTATGAATTGAGTCTAAGTGACTGCGGGGACTATCAAATAAGGGCTGACTTTGCTGAATATTAATCCTGCAGTTTTAGGTTGGATGGTTTGGAATCTGAAGACCACCCCCACCTCGCAAATGCCACTGATCACCTGTACAGTTCTCTTCTCAGAAATAAAAAAGTATTTCATTCAGAGGGTGCACTTGGAGAGTATTCTTCTAAATAGGTTTCCTAGACTGTAAAATTCTCCGTTTGCTCATAGTTTTGAAATTAGATAAATACAGTAGCTTTTTTGAGCTTTCTAGTGCAGAGAGTCCTGTGTTTTGAGTGATAACTTTCATTTTTGGAAAGCCTAATACTATCAGACTAGCTGTACGTGGTCTGGAATAAAGCTTGCTAAATGCAGCAGAGTTTTTGTGCCCGCACTGAAAAATGAGCAGTGTAAAGAGAGGCTGATTTACTGGCTCATTCTTATGCCCAGTTGTCTTTCATAGACTGTTCCGCCTAAATTTTACTTTTAGTAGATTGCCTTCAAATTAGAGTAAATTAGAGCTCAGGATTTACTCAGTGTAATGCCTTATCCCACTACAAGCCTAAGAATTTAAATGCAAGGGAGCACGATCTTCATAGCTTTGGAGTTGTCTTGGCAATGTGCTGTTTATGGACTATTTTAGCACACATAGGCATACATGCATGCAAAGCTGAGAGGTTGAAGTTAAGTAACTCAAACAGATGATCTCTCTTGTTATAGCATTAACATTATTGCTATTCCAGGCTTTCTTATTCTTGTTAAATAACGGTGGATTGGACAAAAAGCAAATAAGTGTGATGGATATGAAAATATAATGATGACAGCATAATAAATTAATGCTTACCATTTCCTGAGTGTTTGCAAAATCTGCCTCTTTTGAGCTACACTGCACCAAAAGCATTATAATATTAATCAGGACAATACAAAGGAATACATATTTGTCTCAGAATGTACTTAGAGCAATGAACATTCCTGCTCCCTAAAGACAAAACAAAAATAAAAAAAGAGAAGGTTTTCATCTCATTGAAACAGTACATGATACACTGCTAATGCCACTGCACATACAAAGAGGCATGTTTATACGTGGTTAAAAATACAGCCTGAGCCTTAGCCTTGTCTTGCATGTAGAATTTTATTGCACGTAAACTACTCTGCATCTAACTTGGAATCACAGCCATAACCCCTCAAGGTATTTTTATTTGACCTCAAATGAACATAAAAAAGAAGTTCATAGAGCAGCCATTTCTTCGCTATTTCTGCAGCATCTGTCAAGGCACTAGCAGTGCAACCTCAGTGTAGAAAGTGTCAGTGCTTCTGAAACATGTTATTAGTGTAAATCTTGGCCTGGACTTGACTTTATTTTATATTTAATGACAGGATGTAAAAAATACTTTGATCTGTATTGATGTAGTTGCTGGAATGAAAATACTTTCTGTCAATTAGTGTTTTGATCCAATGCAGTTAGCTACACCATCCAGTCTTCCAAGCACTGATGCTTTTACACTACAATCTGTCTCTCACCCACGACACAGCTAGGTGACTTACCACAAGGGAGTAACAAATCTTGAATCCAGGTTTAGCCACAAAGTAGTCATCAGATTTGAAGGTTATCTTTATCTGATTTGTTCTTGATGTTATTCTTGGAGGTACTTCCTTATGTCCACACCACCGTCCTCGTATAACTGTGCTGGTCTCTGATATATCTTCCACTTCCACAAAGTCATACCTGGGAACCAGTTTGAAGGATTAGTTTTTGCTAACTCTGGTTAAACAAGATGGTTGCAAATAGACAGGAGCACAGCTGCAGACACAAAGACAACTGTTTCCCATTCTCCATTGCAAAACATCAGACTAAATATTACAAAGGTGGACATGCTCCTGTAGTACAAAATACACTAAGATGCAAGCTACTGCCCAAGTGCTCAAACGGCTGATTTTTGGGCTCCTGGAACATGATAGACAGTATTTTCTACCATGTTAAAATATCGGTGAGAGGCACTTGCATGTGCTCAGGACACAGTAAGCATACGCATTGTGTTTCATGTGGTGGATAAATAATTTAGAGACCTGATAAAATATTATTTAAGGCAGGCTGCCCAAGCTGAGCAGCTGCATGCACTTTCTGGTGGTCCCCCAGCTCCCTGCAGCAGCAGCCACTGGCTCCCACCTGCTGTGCCTGTTGGAGGGCTGGAGCTGGGCTGCCGCCATGCCAGGAGTGAAGGGAGATGCTGGAGGGATACAGGGCAGTGCATGCTGCTGAAAGGTGCTTTTTAGGACCTTCTTTGTATGTGGCACGATGCTTCTGCTAGATGGTTTGGAAAGACTCATTTTAAGTTTTCAAGCAGAAAAGGGCAGGCCGGGACTCTGGGTGCTGCGACAGGGACTCCTCCACTCTTCGTGTGGGTGCTGTCACCAGGGGAAAAACAACAGTGTGTCTTGCGCTGTGAGAGGTCACACCTTGGCCATGCACCATGCCACAGTCGTGCCCTGAGCCCAAAGTGGGCTCTGCCAGGAGCAGCAGATACTAAATCCCAGGGATGAGAGGACACAGTGACGGCACTCACTGCCACAGCCTGTGTATTCATAGAATCATTAGGTTGGAATTGACCTCTGAGATCATCAAATCCAACCATTGGCCTAATACCACCAAGCCCACTAAACCATGTCCCGAAGTGCCACATCTACATGTATTTTGAACACCTCCAGGGACGGTGACTCCACCACTTCCCTAGGCAGCCGCTTCCAATGCTTGACCACTCTTTCAGTAAAGAAATTTTTCCTAATGTCCAATCTAAACCTCCCCTGGCACAACTTGAGGCCATTTCCTCTTGTCCTACAACTTGTTACTTGGGAGAAGAGACCAACCCCTGTGGGAGCGTGGCTTGCTGAAAACAGGCATGGAATGCTAGAG